GACGCAGCAGCAGCATCTAACAATGTTGTGGTAGTTTCAGGTGAACAGTGAAGGGACTCAGCCTCCATATACGTGTATCCATATTTTCCTTAATTTATTTATTTTTACCATAGAATTCTAAATATCAGCTATGGATATTTGGCCCATCCAGTGGATGGCTCCTCACCATGTGCAAAACTATATTTTTAAGGAGGACATACAATAGAACCCTAACTCCTACAGGTTTCTAACTCCTAAAGTGGCTTGGTCACTGACTTTATAAGTTCTTTCAGATCACTTTTCAGAAAGGGAAGGAGAGAGAGAAACAGAGAGACACTGAGAGAGACAACCAGATCCTTGCTATAAAACTACCAAATCAGTGTAGGTGATGATTTTATCATCATTGCTAGTTTCTAGGGCTACAAAATTCCATTACCCCAAGAGTTTTCTAAACTGAGATTTACATCTCAACTACAGACACAAACTTCATGACACATTTATATTAATACTAAGTTTCTTTTTAACCATTTGGTCTTTTTAAGAAAGAGTTAAGAGATATTTTGAAATGGAATGTTCAAAAAGGTGTAAAAATGATGTTTTTAGTAATGTGCTTGCTCCCTTTCAGCGTTGCTGCCCTGCTCGTGTGCCCCTCTTTATATGACCTTCTTCCACCCAGGGACAGCTTGGCCCAGAGCCTCCAACGGGACTCCATCCATTGCCATCGGCCAAACGCAGAAGCCACTTCCAAGCCTGCCATTCAGAGACCAGACCTGACACGTGGGCTCTTAGAGCATCTTTGACCCAGTTTTTCAAGGGGCAGTGCCTTCTTTTCTCACTTGCTTTTTTTTCTTTTGGGGGAGGGAGTTGTTTGTTTTTTGGGTTTTGTTTGTTTTAATTTTGTGACCTTGCTGCACAACACGTGGCCTTTCAGTTTCCTGGACGAGGGAGCGAACCCACACCCCTTGCATTAGAAGTGCAGAATCTTAACCACTGGATCTCCAGAGAACTCCCAGGCTCTCACCTCTGCATCTAGGTAACTAGATCACACGCTAACATCACATAAACATCCCCTTTGGTAGTGAAAACACCAAAGTCCTCACGTGTGTTTGTGTTTTATGTGGGCTTCTGTGTTCTCTAGACCCCCTGCACACCCTACATTCTCCTTTCTCTCATTTTCTTTCTAGGAAGACTTTCCAATCTTACCTTCACCTCCAGGGGCTCCTCTTCTGAGTTTCTACAACACCCTCTACCATCACTGTTCATAGTACATTGTAGTTTTTAGTTAACTTTCCTGTGGATTTTTACTGCTCTGAGAGCAGGCATTTTATTTTGACATCTCCATCTCCTGAAACACAGTGGCTTCTGGATTCATTCATTGAATGAATGAAGTGGGTGGTGCTCTCAACACTTTGAACTATCAAAAAGATGCTCAGCAACAAGATGGATAGATGTATTGATACATTTGAAGTTTCTTGTTTGGAAATAATGATCCATCAGAAGAGATTCTATTTGCTCTCAAGAGAGTCAATTAACCTGAGAACCATACGTCCTCAAGTTTTCTCCTTCATAGATGTTGTCTCTCAACTCCCACCATTATAGGAAGAAAATAAAGAGAAAACATTTTGCTTAAAATCATTCTCTCCCTTTCCTTTTTCTGTCTGAAATAACTACCCATAATAAATACAATAAATACAAATACTTTGTCCTTAAGATTTATGCCTAAACATTCTCATGATAGTGTTATTTATAAGAGTGGTAAATCAAAACACCCTGAAAGTACAATGGAGGGATAATTAAATGAACCATGATGTATTGACACAAAACCATAAAATTTTTTAAGTTACAAAAACATGAAAAAATTGCTATGTGTGTAAGTCACTCAGTCATGTCCGACTCTGCAACCCCATGGACTGTAGCTTGCCAGACTCCTCTGTCCATGGAATTCTCCAGGCAAGAACACTGGAGTGGGTTGCCGTTGCCTTCTCCAGGGCATCTTCATAACCCAGGGATCGAACCTGGGTCTCTGGCATTGCAGGCAGGTTCTTTACCATCTGAGTGACCAGGGAAGCTGAAACTTGCTATGGTATATTGTTAAAAGAAAAAAAATAGTAAAATGTAAAATTATATGGACAGTACAATCCTTCTTAGTAAAAATGTATGCTTAGAAAAAATGTTGGATAGAGACTTCCTGGTGGTCCAGTGGTTAAGAATTTACCTTCCAATGCTGGGAGTGGGGAGAGCTAAAATCCCACATGCCTTGTGGGCAAAAAAACCAAAACATAAAACAGAAGCAGTATTGTAATAAAATCAATAAAAGCTTTAAAAATGGTCCAAACTAAAAAAAAAAAAAAATTATATTGGATGAAAATTAAATAAAATATTAACAGTGGTTAATTCTGAGTGATGGAAGTATGACTGGTTTATACTACTCAGAATTTTCTTATTTTTCGCTACCATTGTAATTTTAAAAAGCACTTTAAAAATAAAAATCTACCCATCTGCATGGTAAGTCTCTTCAGTCATGTCTGACTATGTGCAACCCTATGGACTGTAGCCCACCAGGCTCCTCTGTCCATGGGACTCTCCATGCAAAAAAACTACTCAAGTCAAGTGAAAAAAAGTCCTATGTGTTTTCAGAGCAGGAAAGACCAGATGCTTCTTGCTGGGTGGGGAATAAAATGTATGTGGAATAAGAACAATCAGTTTCTCTGGGCCTAGCAAATAATGTTACAAATTCTTTCCCCTTTTCTTTTCACTTCTAATCCTGGGGAGATACAGCCAATAAAACAGAGTCTCAGCAACTTCCTGGTCCTTTCTCTAGTGAAACAAGGATTTTAAGTACCGAACATAAAAATCTAAAGGGAAACCCAACAGGTAAACACTTATCTTTTCATCACCTGCAATTTGTCTGCCTTCCTCCCTTTTTCTCTGAAATATGCACACAGATTGTATCAAGAGCTTTTTTTTTTTTAAGGAAAAATGCAGAATTGCTAAATTTAAGAAACTAAATTTAAGTTAAATCACTCAAAGTATGATCTTAATCTGGCAACCTCACTAGTTTAGGGATTTACTTGGAGGCAAACTTCTAATTCCATCTCAGACTCGGAAGGTCTGAGAAGGATGAAAAAGAGGTGAGGACCAGATCTACGTTTTAAAAACACTCCCCAGGAAGATTCTTTTGCACATTGACATTGAGAAGAATTTCTAAGATGGAGATGATCAAGATGCCAATTAAGTTCACTTTACCTCTTAAAGAAAAACAAGAAAGAAAAAAAGGAAGGGGTAGGGTTTTCTGTCCAAGGCTAATGAGAAGTGCTAATGAGGTCCCTGGGCGGGGAGGGAAAGCCCTAATTTATAGCATCCTGTACATTCTGATTTATCCTTGTGACATCATGGAACTTGGAGTCAGGAAGAAATGTACCCTTGTGGCTTTCGAAATTTGGGACAAGCCTGACGCACATTCTGCAGGGGGCTTCTACTGGGGGTGATAACTAGGACTCAGTTATTCATTTAATTCTCTCAATATTGTGTGGGGAATTTCATTTCCTGTACAGCTTGAAAGACCGAATGGTGTTGCTTTGTCAATGTGTCCAAGATGGAGGAGGGCAAGGGCAAACATATACCACACATCTCAGAGAAGGACCAACGCTCCGTCTCATAAACTGCCTGCTGCTGTTAAGTCATGTCAGTCATGTCCCACTCTGTGTGACCCCATAGATGGCAGCCCACCAGGCTCCCATCCCTGGGATTCTCCAGGCAAGAATACTGGAGTGGGCTGCCATTTCCTTCTCCAGTGCATGAAAGTGAAAAGTGAAAGTGAAGTTGCTCAGTCATGTCCGACTCTTCGAGACCCCATGGACTGTAGCCTACCAGGCTCCTCCGTCCATGGGATTTTCCAGGCAGGAGTACTGGAGTGGGGTGCCATTGCCTTCTCCATAAAGTGCCTAGAGCACATGAAATCAGAAGTTGTAATGTATAAGCTCTAGCTCTACTTCTGTTTGTTTTGTGATAGGGCAGGTTGTTCATTGTAGTAAAATATCAAAACCAAGGAGATCCATGAACACTTTAAAATATTTCACTGGTGATACATCTTCAGCCGTGCCCTTCATCTAGTTGATGTCTTAACCTGTTAAGTGGAAACTAAAAAGTCTCATGAAACTTTTTACTTAAAAAAATAATCAAGGGTACACTGGAAGAGTCCTCCCACATGCACCTTCCGAATGATGTACATGGTCTTCAATATATCTGTGTTATTAGGTCTACTTCAAGAGAAAAGTCTCTTTTCCAATTCAGGTAGGTACCTCTAAATGTATATTTTCTTTTACAAACTGATCATATCAAATGTGTCCCGCATTTCTAATTTGTGTTATGGAGCACAGGTTACTTGTATAGAGCACAGGTTAGTACTCACACACACACACATACCATCATCATCACCATCAACACCATCAGTACTTTCTGGACCTCCAAGTTTTCAAACTCTAGAAGGCTCAGTTTTCTCCACCATAAAATGAAGTTATAAAATAATCTACTTTAGAAATATCCTAAGATTTAAAATAACACAAGCAAAATGCTCTGCAATACAGAAGAACATTAGTATTCAAGCTACACTTCATATTTACAGGCTGTTCTATTTTCCTCAACTTGAGAGATCAGTATATCAAACATGGTGCAGCTCAAACCAACTTTTCTGTTTAATCAAAGCATCATCAAATGATATTTGAGAATGAATAAATTTTAGCCTGCTCAACATAACTTTGCTAGCTAATGCCAAAAAATGAACATAAAGATAAACACAAATTCAATCTAACACTTAAGAAAAAGGGCAAGTCATAGACTGGTCTTCAAGAAGCAAATAAAAACCACAATAAGCCATGACTTCAAAATTCTGGGCTCTAAATGAAACTGAAGCCAATTTCAAGATGCATTAATCCACCCCGTGCTCACTCTCTGCAACGATACAACTCTCATTTTTGTGTAATATACATGAAATAAACTTAAGGCAGGAAAAATGAACTTACCCACTAAATTCTCTTTATCCAGCTTCTCTGGAGAGGACGCCCCGGGATCCATCTCATTCTTGAGAAGCTTTTATACTTGGCAAATTTTCATGGGTTTGGAGCCAGACCTGAGCTCCAGGAAGCACCCAGATGTGCTTGGGAGAAGGAAGAGCAGAGAGGCAGAGTGAGAGAGTGAGAGAAGTTCCTCTTCTTTCACAAGCACCCTAAGGATTTGTTACCCTGGTGAAGGAAGTCTGTTAACATAAACAAAACAATCGCCTTCCTGAGTTCAGACTGCCACTGTTCATAGAGAAAATTCAAAAGTATATATAGGACCTTCTGGTTGTGTTGCTTCTTGTAGATTATCCCTATGTAGTTGTCTATATCATTTATATCTTATAAAACACATCTATACCACACATAATTTGCTTATCATAATGAACTGTCCAATCCACAGGGCATGTGTCTCCACCCTTAAGTTTCAGATGAGGAAATTTCATCCAATGCATTGTACACACTGCAGTGAGTGATCTTCTGACACTCAAATTTGATATCTCCATCTTGCTTAAAATAATCCAATGATTGCCAGTGGTTAATATGTAAAGATGAAAATCATACGTGTCCTAAAAGAACTGCTGGTCTGTCTATCCCTCCCTTTCCAACCTCACCCACATGAGCTGTCCCTCACTCATTTAGCAATAGTCCCATTGGCCTCGATCAACCCTACTAAACTACATGTGTCCTCTGTGCCACAGGGCCTTTGCACATGTTACCATACACATAATTATTTGGTTAATGTTTGTTTCTTCCTCTAGATCAGGGGTTGGCTAATTGCAGTCAGCTGGGCAAATTTGCCCTACCACTGATTTCTTGTAAGTAAACTGTTACTGGAACATGGCCATGTCTTTTTGTTTCTAAGTTGTTTTTGGTCGTTTTTGGGCTTCCCTGGCTGTTCAGTGGTAAAGAATCCGCCTGTCAGTGCAGGAGACATGGATTCAAGCCCCAGGTCAGGAAGACCCCCTGGAGAAGGAATGGCAACCTACTCTAGAATTCTAGCCTGGGAAATTCCATGGACAGAGGAGCCTGGTGGGCTACAGTCCATGGGTTGCAAAGGAGTTGGACATGACTTAGCAACTAAACAGCCACAACAGGCTAACAAACACATGAAAAGATGCTCAACATCACTCATTATCAGAGAAATGCAAATCAAAACCACAATAAGGTACCACTACACACCAGTCAGAATGGTTGCCATCCAAAAATCTACAAACAATAAATTCTGGAGAGGATGTGGAGGAAAGGGAACCCTCTTACACTGTTGGTGGGAATGCAAACTAGTACAGCCGCTGTGGAGAACAGTGTGGAGATTCCTTAAAAAACTGGAAATAGAACTGCCATATGACCCAGCAGTCCCACTCCTGGGCATACACACTGAGGAAACCAGATCTGAAAGAGACACGTGCACCCCAATGTTCATCACAGCACTGTTTATAATAGCCAGGACATGGAAGCAACCTAGATGCCCATCAGCAGACAAATGGATAAGGAAGCTCTGGTACATATACCATGGAATATTACTCAGCCATGAAAAAGAATTCATTTGAATCAGTTCTAATGAGATGGATGAAACTGGAGTCCATTATACAGAGTGAAGTAAGCCAGAAAGATAAACACCAATACTGTATACTAACGCATATATATGGAATTTAGAAAGATGGTAACAATAACCCTGTATGCAAGACAGAAAAAGAGGCACAGATGTATAGAACAGACTTTGGGACTCTGTGGGAGAAGGCGAGGGTGGGATGATCTGAAAGAATAGCATTGAAATATGTATATTATCAAGTGTGAAACAGATCACCAGCCCAGGTTGGATGCATGAGACAAGTGCTCAGGCCTGGTGCACTGGGAAGACCCAGAGGGATGGATGGAGAGGGAGGTAGGAGGGGGATCGAGATGGGGAACACATGTAAATCCATGGCTGATTCATGTCAATGTATGGCAAAAACCACTACAATACTGTAAAGTAATTAGCCTCCAACTAATAAAAATAAATGAAAAAAAAAACCCAGCCATAACATAGATGAGCGGTTGCTTTTTAGAGACTGTACAGCCTGCACAATCTAACACATTTACTGTTTATCCCTTTACAGAAAATGTTGACTCCTGACCTGTACACTGTATCTTCAGTGAGGGAATAACTGAGTCTATTATTTTTTCTGCCATGGCACCTCTAGCATTTGGAACAATGCAGGCACATAGCTATCATCCAACAGACACTTGTATGAATGAATAAGTAATTTATCAAAGACGGTGGTGGTGGTGGTTTAGTTGCTAAGACATGTTTGACTCTTGCGACCCCATGGACTGTAGCCTGCCATGTTCCTCTGTCTGTGGGATTTCCCAGCAAGAATACTAGAGTGGGTTGCCATTTCCTTCTCCAGGGGATCTTCCTGACCCAGGGATTGAACCCATCTCTCCTGCATTGCAGGTGGATTCTCTACCACTGAGCCATCAGGGAGCCCTTATCAGAGATAACAGCTCCCAAATTATACAGCTCTTTCTTGAATCCAGATCCCCATGCTCCTGCCCCGGAAGTCCTTCTTTCATCATATGACTTGGAAACAAGGGCAATTTTGCACTCACTTCATTACCAAAAACACTAATCTTCTAATTTCCTGATTTCATCTTTCTCATACCAATATTCCAAATGATATTTTGTTTGTGGAAACAAAACAATACAAAACAGCTTCTGAGATTTCCCAGCTCATCTCAACTTTCCTGGTCTTTTTTCTTCCCAAACATGTAGTTATTTTCTTCTTAGCAACTTCATCCGAAAAAACCTCCCAGATTGTGGGTTACTTTTGCCAACTGCTTGACAGTCATAATTGCCTTCTCCACAAACTCAAATTACGTTAATAACCAAGCAGGGCTGTCATCCACAGATTGTAATTATAAGAATTAATATGGAATATTAGAACTTAAGAAAAGGCGGCTGGGGACCAGAAACAGATTAAATCAGACACACAAGCACACGCACAGTCAGAGACATTCTGCTTTAGACTCCTGTCCTCTGCATGCTCCTTATACATCCTGGGTTATGGCTTGATGTGGAAATGATGCTACAGTCATAGTAGGTTAAGAAATAGGCTCTGTGCTCATGTTGCCTAGACTTAAAGAAATCCTGGTTCTACCATGAACTAACTGTGTGACACTGGTTAACTTTACCCCTTCGTGTTTTTCTCCCCCATCTGTAAAATGGGCATGCAGATTATCTTTACCAGGGTCATCTGTATGAGAAATATATGAAATAGTACATGGAGAATACCCAGAATAGGGATTTCCCCGGCAGTCCAGTGGTTAGGATTCCATGCTTCCATTGCAAGGACATGGGTTCGATCCCTGGTGGGGGAACTGGTTGGAAAGCTAAGATCCCACATGATTCACAGACCAAAAAAAAAAAAATCAGAATATTAACTGGCATTAATACATGATAACTATTATTCCCATGAGTGGGAACTGAGCTGTACTTCTCAGGACTCAGCTGTCTTCTTTCTAAACTGGGAATTTTGGGTTAATTTTCACAGCATCGTCTGAATAGAAGATTGCTGAGTCATTGATTGCTGTGCCGTGCTCAATCTTGTTCAACTTTCTGTGGCCCCATTGACTGTAGCCTGCCAGCTCCTCTGCCCATGGGATTTCCCAGGCAAGAATTCTGGAGCCCGTTGCCATTTCCTACTTCCTTCCTCATCCAGGGACAGAACCGCTTTTCTTCTCCTGCATTGCCAGGTAGATTCTTTACCACTAGCGCCACCTGGGAAGCCTTTGCTTGGTAGGTGTGTTCAAACATTTATCACCTTTCTTTGTCTAATGCTTTTCCAGTTTGCTGCACATTTGAGAACTCAAAGTCCATTCCTCCTATACCATCCATCTGTAGATTCCACTGTTTCCTCCTGGCCTCTACTTGATCACTATGTCACTTCCACTTTGGGACTAACCTCTGATGTTAAGAGCAACAGGAAAACTTCCTGTTTCCATCATTTCTTGGGACTAGGTCATAGACAGTCTTTGTCTGGAATAGGAAGCCACTTTCCCTCCGAATCAGATGCCCCCTTCACAGTCACGAAAACAATGCGTCTTGGAAGTGCCAGGTTAGCTATTTCTAAATCGATTTTCCCTTAATATTGGCCAAATAGCACTTACACCAGCACCACCAGTCACGGAGGTGCAAGGTTCAAAACAAGTCTAACAATAATTGTTCCCTGGTGGGAGCTGTAAAGAGCCTCCAGAGTATTTATGGCAAACACATCCCCCTTGGAAGATGACTAAGCAACTGTTTCTCTTCTTCCTGCAAAATGTTTCAAATGTCTCAGCCTGGAAAGCAAGAATGATTTTAACAACTAAGAAACATTTAGGACAAGCTGAGTCCCTAACCAAGAGTCTCAGGAAACTGAATGAAACATAAGCCCATTTGCAATGTTTCCTCCTTTGCTTAAAATAGAAACCATTGGGTGCCAGTTCATGGAATTTTCTCTTCATCATGGGGGAGTTGGGGCCTGTGGATAAAGCAGATTGAGAATTGCAGTAGCATACTTCTGATGAAGATTTTTCTGTGGTTCTAAACTTTCATTCTGTCAATTCCTTAGCTAGGGAAAGTCCTGAAATGAGAACAGCTTTTTTTTTTATTAAAGAAATTTTAACTGCTAATACAATTTTTAATATTATAAAAATTGGCACTATTTCACATGTAGCACAGCTATACACTTCACTTTTTTAATTAAAATTTTTTAATTTTTATATAATCTTTAAAGGCTACTTTCTCATTTACAGTTATTTCAAAATATTGGCAATATTCCCTGCGTAGGACAGCTAAGTTTTTAAAAGTCTTATTTCTATTCCTACTCTTGCAGACAGGATGATGTGCCCTGAAGCACTAAATTTTATTTTCCCTGAATATTCATCTTGGAGCACAAAAGGGATCTACCTGAACACCCAGCCCACAGATTAGTCTACCAATTAGAAACTATTCTTTGGATAGACATTTTAATTATGCAAATTTTTATGATGCATGTGAAATAATATACAGTATGATTACAATAATATGTACAATTATATATCATGCATGTATGTGTATATTTATTGAATAAAATGAATAATGAATATACTAACCAACCTTAGAACTAGAACATTACCAACACCATAAGCTATTTGAATATTCTTTCCTAAATCTCACCCCACCTCCCTATAAACACAGTCCATAATTGTGTTCTCACTTTAAAAGTTTTAAAAATAATATACATATAGGACTTCTCTGGAGATCCAGTGGTTTTCTGCTATTGCTCATATTTGAAACTGTGATTGACTTTTGAATCTAACAATCTGTAAATCTCGCTAAGCATATTTTTCTTTCCAATAATTATACCTTTTATTTTTTTCTGTAGCTTTCTATGCTAGCTAGGATGCTAGTAAAATGCGGAAATGCATTTTACTTATCAGTCTCTGATTGTAAAAGGATATTTCTAAATTGCATAATTAAAAATAGTGTGTGCTATACTTTTATAATTCCTTTACCTGATAGTCTCCTCCTTTTCCTAGTTTGCTGTATGTGAAACATTATGGTGATTAAGTTTTATCAGATTTTTTTTTTAGAGAGACTGAGAACATTTTTTCTCTACTTGCTAATATGTTGAATTGCACTTTTAGATTTATTTTTTAAAATATTTATTTGGCTGCCCCAGGTTTTAGTTGCAGCCCATGGGGTTGTCAGTCTTCATTGCGACACGCCGGATTTTTAGTTGTGGCATCTGGGATCTAGTTCCCTGACCAGGGATCAAACCTGCCCCTGCATTGGGAGTGTGGAGTCTTATCAGCCACTAACCACCTCTCACTTTAGATTTATGTTACTTTATCCTTACACTCCTCATGTAAAGGCAACTTGATCATGGTGTATTGTTTAAGAAAAATGCTCTGTGCATGTAGCTCATGGGGTTTCCCTGCTGGTTCAGACGGTAAAGAGTCTGCCTGCAATGTGGGAGACTTGGGTTCAATCCCTGGGCTGGGAAGATCCCCTGGAGAAGGAAATGGCAAACCACTCCAGATTCTTGCCTGGGAAATCCCATGGATGGAGGAACCTGGCAGGCTAGAGTCCACAGGGTCACAAAGAGTTGTATACAACTGAGTGACTTCACTTTCTCTTTCGTATGTAGCACATATTTTGGTGTTTCACTCTTTTCTTGAAAAAGGTTGACTTACATTTTTCTTTCATACTATTCTAGTCTGTTTTTGTTTCAAGGTTGTAATGGTCTATTAAGAATGTGTTGAGGAGTGTTTTTCTATTTTATTGGAAGAGTCTGTTCAGTTGAACCAGTCTGAAAAACTGTCCGAGTCTGCTTCTTCCTGTCCATCTCCATTGTTGTGATACTAACACACAGGCAATCAGAGCTAACTTACATCTTCAGCTCAGTCGCTCAGTCGTGTCCGACTCTTTGCGACCCCATGAATTGCAGCACGTCAGGCCTCCCTGTCCATCACAAGCTCCCAGTGTTTACTCATACTCATGCCCATCAAGTCGGTGATGCCATCCAGCCATCTCATCCTCTGTCGGCCCCTTCTCCTCCTGCCCCCAATCCCTCCCAGCATCAGATTTCTTTTCCAATGAGTCAACTCTTATTAGCATGAGGTGGCCAAAGCATTGGAGTTTCAGCTTCAGCATCAGTCCTTCCAATGAACACCCAGGACTGATCTCCTTTAGGATGGACTACTTGGATCTCCTTGCAGTCCAAGGGACTCTCAAGTCTTCTCCAATACCACAGTTCAAAAGCATCAATTCTTCAGTGCTCAGCTTTCTTCACAGTCCAACTCTCACACCCATACATGACCACTGGAAAAACCACAGCCTTGACCAGATGGACCTTTGTTGGCAAAGTAATGTCTCTGCTTTTTAATATGCTCTCTATGTTGGTCATAACTTTCCAAGGAGTAAGCATCTTTTAATTTCATGGCTGCAATCACCATCGCCAGTGATTTTGGAGCCCCCCCAAAAAATAAAGTCTGACAGTTTCCACTGTCTCCCCATCTATTTCCCATGAGGTGATGGGACCAGATGCCATGATCTTAGTTTTCTGAATGTTGAGCTTTAAGCCAACTTTTCACTCTCCTCTTTCACTTTCATCAAGAGGCTTTTTAGTTCCTCTTCATTTTCTGCCATAAGTGTGGTGTCATCTGCATATCTGAGGTTATTGATATTTCTCCCAGCAATCTTAATTCCAGCTTGTGCTTCTTCCAGCCCAGCGTTTCTCATGATGTACTCTGCATAGAAGTTAAATAAGCAGGGTGACAACATACAGCCTTGACGTACTCCTTTTCCTATTTGGAACCAGTCTGTTGTTTCATGTCCAGTTCTAACTGTTGCTTCCTGACCTGCATACAGGTTTCTTAAGAGGCAGGTCAGGTGGTCTGGTATTCCCATCTCCTTCAGAATTTTCCAGTTTATTGTGATCCACACAGTCGAAGGCTTTGGTGTAGTCAATAAAGCAGAAATAGATGTTTTTCTGGAACTCTCTTGCTTTTTCAATGATCCAGCAGATATTGTGCTTATTTCATCCACTTTTCTGTGCTTTCTTTCTGGATGATTTTTTCTTATTCTATTTTCTCCTCCTCACCAATTAGGAGTTAAAAACACAACTTTTAACCCTTCATAAAATTTTATTGGGTATAAAGTTTAAACTTAAGTTAAAGTCCCTCCTGAGTACAAGAATCCTGGGGATATGTTAATTTTCATCATTTTTCTCAACTTACCTAATATTGTCCATTATTTCATATGTTAACTGAACCAAATTAGACATTGTTTACTACTATGGTGTTACCTTTAAAAACAAAAAAGGCTCATTAAACTTGATTTGGTGTTGTCTTTTCTCATATTCTGTGACACTATTTTATAAATGCAGATGAGACCTATCTAGCAAACCAAGTGGTAAAGCTTAAGATTAAACTTCATCAATTATGAGGGTTTTCCAGTGGCGCTGTGGTAAAGAATCCACTTGCCAGTGCAGGAGACACAATAGATGCAAGTTTGATCCTTGGGTTGGGAAGACCCCTGGAGGAAGAAATGACAATCCATTCCAGTATTCTTGTCTGGAAAATCCCATGGACAGAAGAGCCTGGGGGGCTACAGTCAATGGGGTCACCAAGAGTCAGACCTACTGAGTGACTGAGCATGTGCACGTGCACACACACACACACACACAGTGCAGACTCAAAAAGAACAAATGATAACTTCTAATCTGTGTTGGAAGATAATTAAAGGCATAAATAGTCTGTTTCAAATATTAGTGTTTCAACTTTCATATGAGGTGTTATTTAAGTGAGCATCAGTAGTAGACATTGACTTCCAACTAAAGTCAGACAAAAATGTCCTATATATTAGCTCCAAAACAAAAACTTAAAATACTTATCCCAGTGCTGAATAAAACACAAGTTGTATCCATAAAGTTTATTTTAAAAAACTGTTAAAAACTGACCATACAGGAATATTTATTAATATACTTAAAAAGTTTGTTCCCCGTGTTGAAGGAAAATACATTAGCAACATCTTCTAGACACTGTCTTTATAAAAGTAAAACTTCTAGATGCTGAAATGTACTACAGTAGATTCTATAGTTTATACTTTTAATCACAGGATTGGAAATCATTCTTGCTACTCCCCCGATCCCCCTGAATGTGGCAGTTATTATACTTAAATTAATGACATTCAATCATGTTATACTACCACAGGTCCTTAAATAGAGTACACACTGCATATTTACTAACAGAGCAAAGTCTTCTCTATCTGTTGTCACATCATTATTTTAGATAAGCATTTGATTCGAAGTACAAATAGAAATACTACATCCCATGATTGTAAACATTCACCAAGAGCTTCCAGAGCACAATGAGTAACAGGTGGCCCAAGGGTCAGTCCAATGCTCCTCACTCACATTTGGATACTGCTGAGAGTAAGAAATATGTTCTGAAGGCAAATTATCACAGGCCTTGTATTTCTGTAAGAAAGTAGTTCTGGATATATATATATATATTTATATATATGTTTTTAGTTGAAAACACCTGAAAGTCATTCTAAGGACTATATGAAGCACCATTTTCACTTACCTGAAATACATTGGGTTAAATTCAGCAGTACATGTATGTTTGTTAATGTCAGGAGTTAAAAATAATGGTGGGTCTCAAGTTCCCTTTTGTGGATATATTTGGAGTATGGATACTGAGTTCCAGCGAGGCTAACAGGAACCACTCAAGTGTATGAAGGGTGTTAACTCCCCCAGGGCCACACGCAACCCGTAAGTCTGAGGCACGACCATTACTTCTGTCAGTGGATGCTGTACAGGCAGAGTTAAGGCTGTATTCGGCTATAAAGAGGTCAACCTCCTCTTCAGTAGTCCCCCTACACCGCTCACATACACCATTCAAAATGTCATAGGGTGCAGGTGAAAAGTCCCCAAATACTTTTTAAAATACTATTCTCCATACAATTTGTCATTGGTATATTTACATAGGGGAGTGTTCACACTTTAAAACATTTTTAAAGAATGCAACTGTGTTTTTTTTAAACTCTTATCACAGTTTCCCCAGGATCATCCCTAGCCTCATTTCCTGACTTCTGGCCAACTTCACATTTGTCAGACTGCAGTCCTCGGGCAAGTTTGCGGTCCTCGGGCAATTCTGACATTGCTCTGCAGGAGCATATACGTTAAAATATATTCACTGCCACCCACTCTGGGACAGGCCTGGTTGCAGAGAAAACGGTGTTCCTGGTGCCGAAGGGTAACTAGGAAACCCATCTGGCTGAGCTGGGTAGCTTTCCAGAGCTGACGCTGAGTGGACCTGACGGAAAGAAGAATGCACAGGTGAGCAGAGTGCCAAATTCCATGAGGCCTGTGCTTGCTTTTTCCAGTCCCACTTCTTTTTTTAAAAGGAAAAAAAAAAAATGCTGGGGCAAGGTAAGTCTGTTCAATCTCCTGAAATTTTTAAGAAACATTCAGACTTCTTCAGATGGTAGAGGTGCATAGAAATGCCTTTAAAATGAGAACAGGTTTTCTGGAGAAAATTTACTTCAATGGTCCACTACTTTAGGTTTAACTACAAAAGACAAGCTAAAATTTAACTGTAACACCTAAAGATTCTGTATGCAAAAATCTCCAGACTTTTGAGAGATTTAGAGATTTAAGTCTCTAAGCAGGAAAAACACACAGATGAATATATTCTACCACCTTTGTTATCTCCTGAAGGAAAACAAGGATAATTTGTAGATTTGGGGGAGGGAATTAATCGTCAAATCTCTAGACATTCTGCTAAGAGCCATTTTGGTCAGTGCTGGAGTACCACTGTCTGTGTTGCAAGGTTATCACTACAGAAGCTCTGTTACACATGTTACCATCCTTATTTGCTCCAGGCACTGCTGCTCACCTGCTGCAACAATGCTGACTGTGCAGCTGCATTATGCTGCAATTCCTGCAGGGATGACTGTGAGGGATTCTGGGAAAATCCAGGGATGCCTGGGAGGGACAAGAGGCCTGGAAAAACTGAACTGCCTGCAGCTTGTAGTCCAGAGGATAAGCTGAAACAACAGAGAGAACGGGTCAACATGTGAGTGAGACATAAAACCTATTGCTTCTACATCTGTCAAACACTATCTTAAGATGCTAAAAAACATCCTAGAAATTCTCTATTGTAAGGAACTATAAACACGTTTTACATAGGTTTTAGGCACTGACTTTGCATTATCAGGTCTATTATTCTGAATTCAGTGAGTTTATGTTTTGCTGTTTTGTCATCAACATAAATCACCAAATGCAAATCCTGAAGTTACCTGAAAGAAAGTGAAAGTGAAGTCAGTCAAGTCTGACTCTTTGTGACCCACGTACTGTACTGGGCCAGGCTCCTCTGTCCATGGAATTTTCCAGGCAAGAATACTGGAGTGGGTTGCCATTTCCTTCTCCAGGGCATCTGCCTGACCCAGGGGTCGAACCTTGGTCTCCTGCATTACACTCTTTACCGTCTGAGCCACCAGGAATCCCTGCTGATTATCTGAGCAGATATTGATATTGTATACATTTATCTTAGCAAGAAACATGTTAGGATAAACATTTCAAGCCGTTTTAAGTGTTGGCCCGAAAAAGATAATTTTCCACTAACAATTCGCTTCTGACTCATTTGAATGACTTCAAGATCATGCACGATCAGTTGTATGGAGAACCACCTCCCCTCTCTCCAGACCATGCACGTACCCAGCCTGCGCAACCAGAGCCGAGTTGAAATTGGAACTAAAGGCAGAGGCGAAGCCCGGGAGGACAGGCGCTGGCGACGGGGCAGTGGCGGCACCAGTGGCAGACGGCTGCAGCCCCGGGAAGGCGGGCAGCGCGGGGGTCCCGGGGGCGCTGGAGACAGAGAAGCCGGGGTAGGAGGGCGCCGAGGCCGGCAGTGGGCCCTGCGCCACGGAGAAGAGTGAGGGCACGGCGGCCGGCAGGCTGAGGGGGAAGGCCGAGGCCGCTGAGGCGGGCGCCGGGGCCGAGAGTCCAGGGAGCGCGGGCGCCGCAGAGCCGGAGCCGGGGTGCGGAGGCGCCGCGGCGGTGGAGGCGGGGGCAGCGGGCGCGGAGGCCGGGGGGTTGAGGGCTGGGGTGGCGGCCAGGGGGAAGCTGCTGGTCAGGGACGTGAACGGAGGCAGGGCGGTGAAGACCGGGGTGATGGGCGTGGAGCCGCCGTGCGGGGCCAGGGGCAGGGCAGGCAGGGCGCTGGAGCCCGTCAGGGGCGCACCCAGCCCCGGGAGGCCCGGCAGCGCGGGGTTAAGGCAGGACGGCAGGCTGATGGGCACCGAGGCCGCGGGGTACGCCCGGCCCAGGGCCCCAGAAAGGCCCAGCGCGCCCGCGGCGGCGGCGGCAGGGGCCGGGCCCTTGAAGGCCGAGGGCGTGGGGCTGGTGGGCTCCGTCTTGACCACCACGGGCAGGGTGGTGACGGCGGGGGTTGCGGGGCCGTGCGGGTGGGCGGCCGAGGAGCCGCAGCCCACCGCAGCCGGCCCCGAGGAGGCGGAGGAGAGGGCGGCGGGCGCGGGCATGGCGGGGGGCGTGGAGGCCGCCGCGCTGGCCACTGGCGAGGGCAGCCCGGGGAACAGCGCCAGGCCCGGCGTGGGCGCCTGCGGCGGCCCGTAGCCCTTGTTAGGGGCTGAGCCCGGGGTGTCGGCGCCCTGGTTGGCCAGGGAGGAGAGCGAGGCCAGCCCACTGGTCACCGCGGAGGGCAGGGCGGAGGAGCTGATGAGGCTGGTGTCGCTGGACGTCAGGAAGCCTTTCAGGGCGGACAGGAGGGGGCTGTTCACACCCAGGGGACAGGCGACACCGGGAGCTGAGCCCCCGGCGATGACGGAGGCGGTCGGGTTGGACACGCCTTGGGACGCCGGCGTCAGGGTCAAGGGAAGCCCCGCGAAAACCGACGAGAGCGAAGCGGAGTTGAGGTTGTTGGTGGCGGCGGCAGTAGTAGCGGCGGGGAAGGGGAGGCTGGTGAACGTTTCACTGGAAGCCGTGGTGGCCCGAGGCACAGCCGTGGCCTGAGGGGCCGGGGTCGGGGCGGCGGGAGGACCCGGCAGGGGAACGAGGCCAGAAAACACGGAAGGAACGGGTGTGGCCGTGGTGCTGTGGACAGAGGTCACCGTGGCGGCCGGCAGCAAAGGCGTCCTGATCACCGTGGGATTTGGCGTCATCGGCTGAGGCAGGTGAACGGTAGAGACCTGCCCCGGGAACACAGGAAGGACGGTATTCGGCAAGTTTATCCCCGGGAGGCTGGCGGTGGCCGATGCTGATGGATGAGTTCCTGCCTTGACCGGGGAAGCGGTAGGAACCGGAGTTGCAGCGGGTGTGGAGGGATTGGAGCCATGAGGGGCAAAGAGCTGACTGGCTGGGGTGGAGAATGCTGCGGTGGGAGAGGAGGAGAGGCTAGAGGTTATCATCACGGCTGAGAGTTCAAATGTTAACTCAAAAGAAAATGGATAACAGTTTATGTAATATTTAACAGATGTCAAAGAAAAACCAATGACAGGTCTAAGAAGCTACTGCAGCGTTCACATTGCTGGATTCCATTTTCACCAGGCAGCCGCGGTTAGATCCTGCAGAGCTCTGAACTCTGATCAGCACAGCCTTCCCGTTCACAGTGAGGAAGCCTTGATAAGTGAGCAAATAAAACTTTGCTTTCATAGATTCCCAATTTTACAAAAATTCAAAGAATTTATTTTGTGATTAGTGTTGGTGTACTCATTCTCTCAGGCTGCTTGCCTAGAGTAGTATCAGAAGTCATTTCCTCTCTGAAGAGCTCTAGGGCATCATCCCCTCTAGAGGCACACAGGGTCATCAAGTATACTCAGGCCATCTCTGCAGTATTCTTGGTTGCCACTCTGTGAGTTGATTACCAGTCTCTACAGATTTTCCCCCAAGCACTTTCTCATACTGACCCCTCTACATATCTTAACCTCTAACTTTACTTGGCTTGTCCTAGGCTTTAGGGGCAAAAGCCGCATCTAGTTCATCTTTAATCTTCACACCTAGCCCAGTGCCTGGCATTTACGTGTTTAGTTAAGTATTTGCTGCACTGGATACCTCACGATTACCTCAGCTGCAGTTCTCAAGCCCATCCAAAAACTTATTCTCAAAACTTCTAGAGTTTGCTACAGTACTTTTATTCTGATAAACTCTACAAATAATACAAGCATTTTGGGAATGCCTGGGATTCCCTCCTGAATCAATTAATGAAAACGTTAGCTTCTGATCTTGTTGGTGCCAAGACTTAGGAATGCAAGACTTAAGTAGGTAATGTCATAATGACAACTACTGTCCATGCTATGTTCACACTGAAGTCTGTTTCAGCAGTAAACAGAGAATGTACCCTTTGCAGCGATAATCAACTGAAAGACCTTTTCATGGACTAAGACTTAAATTTTTAAATCTATGCAAAATAGAGACCCTGGACATAAGGAAGTTGACATGGTCCATAAAGTGATGCACTGTGTTAATCACGGATGGAGAAGGGACCATAGGAAAAGAATAGAGGAAGCCCATGTCCACATAATACTTTTGTGCTAAGTGATGGCCAAAGGGTACTACACGGGGCTGAACAAATTTTACAGCTGTTTTAGATAATCAATATGGGAGGAGAATTGACAAATAGTAAAGCACAAATATATAAACATCAAACTCAAAACATCTGTAGTTCATACCATATTCATATCATGAGCAATAATTTACTTTCAAGAAAATCAGTATCATTTTAAGTTGAGAGTACATATGAAAATAGGTTTGTAGCTCTGTATTCCATTTGTTTTATAAGAACTAGAAGCACAAGGAATATATGCCTAGTTTTGTGTTTGTAAATAATGTACCAAAAAATGATTTAGGTTAACATTGGTTGGGAAACATCTGGTGGAAAAAACATCTGAGAATTCCCTGTTGTTTAACTTCATGCTGAGGACCATGTAGTTAATGACAGATGGCAAGGGAAAGCCAAGCTGTCCCAGTGTTCTTTATAGCAACCTCTGTTGGAGATCTTTACATATAATGACACAAAAGCCGTGCACTATTAATCATAGTGCCTGCAGTCAAAATGGAAGAAAACAGAAATGAACCCCCCCCACCCCCCAAAACCACACCATGGTAAATACCGCTTTCCTGTCATCTAACTTGGTTGTTAACCACAAAACACGATGTGTTAGATCCTATGCTAAGTACTTTACACCCGTCATTTCTCTTGTACTCATATAACCCTGAGACAGGCACTAATACCCCCATTTTACAGATGGGCAATCTCAGGCTTCGTGTGATTAAGTAATTTGTTAAAAGATCATGCATCTATTGAGTGGTGTTCAAAGGACATAAAATTTCAGTTATGCAAGATGAGTGAGTTCTAGAAATCAGCTGTACAACACCATGCCTCCAGTTAAGAATACTATACTGTGTTCTTAAAAATTGGTGACAAGGGTAGATCTCAATAAGAGATCTTACCACAGTGATAACAATAATGATGATGATAAAAAGGTCATGCAGCTGTGAAGCCATGGAACCAAGACTTCAGCAAGGCTGGTCACACTTGTGTTCTTAGGCACTGTACTTGTTTGTGTTTTGTTTCTTAACATGGTTGAAAAAGGAAGAACAATCTTAAGCATGCTAACATAACACAACAAAGGAAAAGCAAAGTGTGTTCTTCCTAACAAAGGTGCTGATGATACTTAATCTGTTTATTCTCTTCAAAAACAGGTCTGTTAACAAAGCTGAGCATAAAGGCTGAGGTTTCCTTAATCTCCCTTTGCTAGAAGCTGAATCAGCTGCTCAAGGTTACAAAGGCGGGTGGTGCCAGAGCCAGGATCAAACAGTGTTATGTCCTGACATCTCACTTAGGGTCCCTTCCTCCCTGCTCTGCTACCACCTTAGAAATTACCAGCTAAAAAGCACATTTCCACACATTCTCAGGGGATGGAATTCTCCCACCAAGACTCCTACCCATGCACTGTGATGATCAGATTCATGTGCTCCTCTGCTACGTAAGAACTGGTCCCAGGTTTTCTGTCACAGCGGAGAGCATCTCTTTCCTGACCACACAAATCCTCCACTACGGGGAGGGCAAAATGTCACAGAGCTGCTGCCATGGGGAGGCCTTGCCTCGTCTTCACCTGCGGATTCCGCTTCCTGTTCTGCTGCCCCTTCTTCAACTCTTTCTTCTTTCCTTACATTAAATACACTACTCCGAATACTTGTTGAAATAATTAAGTCTAAAAGATCTATCTGACACAGCGTTTGTCAAAAAAGGGTTTTTATCAAAAAGAAATGTTGTTTATATATTTAAGAAAATGAGGCTTCGAATATCACATAATGTAAACTGAATGCAGATACAATGCCACATAGCACTGAGACTGCTTCAAAGTTTTACAAACAGCACACAGAGACATATGGTTATTTTTAAATCCAGTTAGTTAAAAGCTTTCTTAGATGATTCTATAAGATAGGCATTTTATAGATTATATTTTACACATTGCATGCTGTGTGTATGAAATGTACCACCATTAAAATTTTATTTTTAAATAAAATGTATCCCTCTTTCTAACCGTCTAAAAGCTTTTAATTTACAAATAGTTGTCCGAGCTCCTATGAGTGCCACAGCCTCCTTCAACTATTACTTGGAGCCCCTGGATCAGAGACCCTCAATATGAGGATTAGGAGAATATGTTGCCTCACCAATTTAGGGACAATGTCCCTTGTCAGCTCGGAAGCAGTTATGGAATGAGAACGATGCCCCTTTTCCCTAGGCAACATAATTCTCCTAAAAGAAAAAGGGTGAATGAGAGAATCATTTCCTAGGCAGGTTGATAAGAAGTCTAGGGGTCCGTCCCCAAGGAGAGAGAGGTCTGGGATATTCAAGGAGGAAGAAAGGACAAACTTTTTTACTTTTTCTCCTCTACATTCCTTAGGCTTATATAACAATAATGTATCCTACCTGAGGACAGTTTTTGCATTAAACCCTCTGGCTAATTCTGTTATTTTAAAACATAAATTATGGGAGTAGGTCTGGTCTTTATAAGGATGTATCCTGCCTGAGGGCAATCTTTGGATTAAACCTTCTAGCCAACTCTGTTATCTTAAAATGTAAATTATGGGAGTGGGGCTGGTGAGGTCTTTGCAACCTCCAGACATTCTTTGGATTCATTAGAGAGTATATAACTCCATTGCTAACACTAGCAAAAGAGGTACTCTTTTGCCCCCTTCTGATGCCTATGTCAGAAGCTTTCTCTATCTCCTTTATACTTTAATAAAACTTTATTACACACACAAAATAAATAAATAAATAAATAAAATGTATCACTCTTAAGTCACTTTTAGCAAGCAGTGATAAATTAAATTTTTTAACCAGGAACTTTCCCTAAAGCATAAAGATTTCAAATACACTCAAACTCAAATTGATCTCAGTGAAAAACAGAGCAGGCAGCCAGAACAGACATCAAATTTGGTGCTTACCTTGATTCTGTGTAGGTTTTGTCTGACTGGAGAGGTCCTCATTCTCTATGAGAAAATAAATAAATAAAAGTTGATTTCCAGCTTTAATCAAATTATTCACCATCATAATAATCAGAGACTGAGGTAAAAGAAAAAAAACCCAGAATATGTATGTATACTGTGTTAGGAAAAACAACATATGCCTATAGGAGAAAAAAAAAGGAAATAGACAAAAATCATAGTAGTAACTATACAAAGACTGCCAAGGATTATGAGCAATTGTCCCTACCACTTCTCCTTACTGGGCTTTAAGCAAACACTGCTATTTTATAGATTCATTTAAGAAGGCTTTTAGGGAAGGTGGTGGAAGGCCTGGTGTGCCTTCTAGGAGAGAGTGCAGACAGGAGCCGCTGTCACTGGCTAAGCACTCTGCTGGGCACCACTGCCTACAACGCAGGGGAGACCTGGAAGTGGGAGGTGGGCGCTGAGGGCAGAATCCACTGCCGCCTGAGGGGCCAATCTCACAAGGTGGGTGCATCAGCTAGCACACTGAGAAAGTGGCTCTGTCCACCGCTGTACTCAGTTCTAGAAAAGGCCCCATGCTAGGAGATGTCGGGGGAACTGTCCGAGCTGAGGCTGACTTGAAGCCCATGAGACTGACATCCTTAGCACACTCCTCTCCAGCCCGGTGGGAAAGGATCCATCTTACCCAGCCATTAGTCAGAGATACACTGGCAAACAAATGACCTCTCAAGGCTTGCCAGTAACTGCTCAAGAAAGCATCAGTGTGACAGGCATAAAGTGCAAAAAGGGAACCCACAAGCCCTGACATAGTGAGCAACAAAGACCCACCTTGTTTAAGGGACTTGAGCACAAATAAACTTAGACAGTGTCTATCCAGGGATTTAATGAAAGAAAAAGAACTTTAAAATCTTGTAATGCAAATGAAGAATATATACACACGTAATATTGTAAGAAAAGGAGCAGAGAAGCTGAAGACTTTAGACATAAAAATCTACTCTAAGTTAATAAATGCAAAGAATGGTGAAGATTAGAAATAACACTACTGAAAGCTAAATTACATAGTTGAAATTAAAAGTTCCATTTAAAATGGCAAAAAAAATTTTTAAAGATATCGAATGAATAGCTAAGAGACTTACAACAAATATACCGAAAAATAAGAGTACTAGAAGGAGAAAAAAAGAGATGAAATATCATTAATTTAAAGGAATATAAAGACAAAATTTTCCAAAGCTTTAAAGACTTGAGTTTTCACATCTAAAGGGCTTACAGAGTTCTTGGAAGGATTAACCATAAGATCCACATCTAAATATCCTGAGGAAATGTCTGAACTTCAAGACTAAAGACATTTGTGAACTCTAAAGATAAGGCATGTCTTCTTTGTAAGTTTATAGAAAAAGACTAAGGTTCTAATAAAGAAAAGAAAATTAGTGAGAATTGAGTTTCTCATCTATAATCCTACACCTCTACCCTTTTTGAAAAAGCTGATTAGAGAAATTTTCTACTAGAAGAAAATTAGTATATGAGGACAAGGCATCAAAGAGAAGTCACAAAGTTAAGAAGCCATGAGTTTAGAGGCACAGAAAGAAAAATGTATTCCATCAAGAGACACAAATTGATGATCAAGGAGAGGGAGTAGGGAAGTCAATGGTGGGATGCAGGATAGCTGTTTTTACTTTCTGTACACTGATAACTACTAAGAATATGAAGATGATCACTAGTGATATTTAAAGATAGAAATTCTAAGTTTGAGTAGGAGCAAGAAAAGTTGTTTAAAAATTTTAAAGCAATTTGAATGAATCCAAGTAAACAAAAATAAGAAAAATGAAAAACCTGGATAAAAGAATAATAATAATGAGCATAAAAATAAAATGGAAGGACTAAGAATATACAATTTTTATGATTATCTGAAACCCCTATTAAGGTCTCTTCCCCACTGGTTTACGAAAATCAGATTCTAGCTATATATAATTTACAAAACAACTAACTTACCAAATAAACAAAACTCTAAAACAATATTAAAAATAAAGATACAGGCAAAAGACTTATGAAAAATGAAAACAAAAAAGAAGTGTGGACCCAATAAGGGTCAATACCAATACCCAATAAGGCTGGGGTGGGCAGGGGGGCAGGCGGCTTACTTATACTCAGTAAAGTACAAGTCAGCTGAAACATTTTATACCCAGAAAAAGAGACTTTCAAAGAAAAAAAAAGAAAACAAAACCTAAAATAGGAAATCAGTAACAAGTACCTAAAAATGAAATATCCATTTATAATTGTAACAAAAAAATTCCTCTAAAATTCCTAGACACAAACCTAAGGCAAAAAACCTATATGAAGAAAACTACAAAATCTTCTTGAAAGAAGCAGAGATTAACACAATATTATAAATCAGCTATAACTCAATTAAACCTCCCACACCCCCCAAAAACACTTACTGCAAACAATAACATAAGGCCTGGAAAAACACTACCAGTTGCCATGATTTAAAGTAACACACACACACACACACACACACACACATATATATATAATTAAATGGTAAAATCTAATATCATAAAAAATGTCATCTCTCCAAATTACTGTGTAACTATAAATACATAAATTCTTTTCTAATTGCATATGGTGATCTTAAAAGTTCACGTGGAAGAATCAATTTCCAAAAAGTGGGTAAGAAAGATACAAAAATACAGTGAGAGAAAGCTAGCCTTATCAAATGTCAGAATATACTATAAATCTGCTAATTAAATCAATATGGTATCATCGCAACATAAAGTAACTAGACTGGAACAGAATAAAGAGCCCAGAATTAGAGCCATGTGTGTAAATGAAAAGTTAAGATAAACGTATTATTTCAAAGCAGCAGGGAAAACAGATTAATTAATAAAGAGTGCTGGCATGGACCAACCGACTACTGTCTGGAAAAAAAATTAAGATAACCGTCTACTTCACCCCACATGAAAATAAATTCCAGATGGAGTAGGAATCTTAAAAGACCCAGACTACCTGGCCTAACTACTTACGGTTAAGAATACCTGAACTAAGGCAACATGGTTCCAGCTTTTCTTTCACAACCTCTGTCTGTCTAGGCAAAAATGTAAAACCCTAAGGTTAAAACATACTGTGACTAAGGGCAAGAAATAAAATGATAAATTTTAGAAAAAAGATTTTGCAACTTAAATCAGTCAGAGTACTCCGTGGCAAACACCAGAGCCATTCTGACTAGAAAAAAATTAATTTATTAAACATTAGTAAGTAACTCTTAGTCTTGGGGAAGGGCAAAAGTAAATTAAGACAGAACTTAATTTCAGTTCTAGCCATACCCTACACACACACAGAGATAAATGGCAAGTGAATGAAAAGCTGTACACTTAAAAACAATCATTACAACAGCAATTAGAGAATACAGATGTTGCTGCACTATTGGGTTGGGGAAGGGTTTCCTAAACAAGACAAAATTCAGGAGAGTCAAATAGCTGAATGAAATAAATTTTTGTAAAAGACAGATAAAAGAAGGTACCAGCTGAATCAGTGTATCAGACTGGCAAAGGTAAAACAAAAAGCCTGTTATCATTCCACTTTGAAAGGGTGTGGAGAAACGGTATGCTCATATACCCTCACTGGCTGGTATAAACAGGTGCAGTCTTTTGGGGGAGCAATTTGACAAGATAGAAATTTACACTTCATTTCCTGAGTTCCCAATGGGCCCCAAGGAAAGGCTGACCTGGAAAGCGTGTGGGTAGGCAAAGTACTTTTGAGCACCTTCTAACAAGCCTTTCCTCCCCATGGCAGACAGAAGGTGCCTAACAGCGACACCCCACTAGGTCAGAGACGCTTGTCCACTGCCTGTCAGTGTCCTACTCAGGAGAAATGGTTCCTGTCTCCACGGCCTGCTCGTGTTCACACTTACCTCAAAATAATAAAGGCCATATGCTACAAACCTACAGCTAACCTCATACTCCATGGTGAAAAGTTGAAGCCATTTCCTCTAAGATCAGGAACAAGGATGTCCACTCTCTCCACTTTTATTCAACACAGTTTTAGAAGTCCTAGCCATGGCAATCAGAGAAGAAAAAGAAGTAAAGGGAATCCCAACTGGAAAAGAAATTGTTAAACTGTCACTGATTGCAGATGACATGATACTTACTGTACACAGAAGACCCTAAAGAGATGCCGATCCTAAAGATGCTACCAGAAGACTACCAGAACTCACCAGTGAATTTGGTAAAGCTGCAGGCTACAAAGTTAATACACAGAAATCTGTTGCATGTGGGCCAAGACCGCTCTAGTGGAGCCTGGATGTCACACTCGGCTCCATCAGCAGGCTTGGGGGCTGTGCTCCCTGTTAGAACAACACCACACCACACATCCGTCCTCTCTGAATGTATGATGAGAAAGTTATTGACTTTTAACACCCCATAACAACCTGATTTTACCTGCTGTTACTGGATTAGGAGTATATGGAGGTGGCGGGGGCACTCCTGGAGCTATGACGTTGGCTAACGGTACCAGACCTGCATTGTTATAAGCACCTAAAATAAAAATATAATAGAAAAAAAATGTACAATTTAGCATCATTCCGAGTTCAAGCTGTATCGACGCAGCTACCTACTTTATTTCTAAAACTGTTATCTAGTATAGTTGCATTTTACATGGAGGTTTGGGTGAAGAGTGATATCAAATGAGAAGCAGAGACTTCTATTTCCCAGTGTAGGCTTACTCCAGGCATAACTCACTGAAGGGCATGGTGGGCAGAACCTGTCAGACTTGTATGATTTGCCTTTTCTGTCAAGCACACACATTTGGCCCTTTCAAGTTAAATGTGCTAATGATGTCTTTGAATACCATCTATCAAAAAAGGGATTCAAGATGATTTACTCATAAGCAAAAGCTTATATAAATAATTAACAATGAAAAAAATCTACAATTAACTTATCAAAAGGAAAATATTCTAAATGAGACTCTTAGTCTTCTGCACTGCTGTAGACCACCCTAGAGTAACCAACTGTGGGCAAAGTAAAGCTCAGGGTAGCACATTTCTTGAGTGGTCCAGATTTCCAGAGTATATATACCAACCTTTACTTTCAACTTAATAAAGAGCAAAAAGAAAAAAAGTAAACTCTGAAAGAGCTCCTTACTTGGTGCAATAGTTGCGTGTGGTCGGCATGGAGGTATCGGGTAAGGAACAGGTTTATGTGGATTGTATGTTGAAGGAGGCTAGAATGAGAGGGGAAAGTACAGCAGTTAGCAGAACATCAAGGAAGCTCTCTCCTGGCAAAACAAAATACAACTTGTCTTGCAAAACATTTAGGCCTAAGAGGCCAAAAATGCCCCAGCAATATCAATTGCCGCTGCACTAACAAATGGCACAAAGGAGGGACATTTCTTTGCTTTAATAAATGTGGCTCCGATTAAGTCCAAAGAGAGACCCTGCCAAAGACTGGTGCTGCTGTTCCGTCGCTCAGTCATGTGCAACTCGTTGAGACCCGCCAGGCTTCCCTGGCCTTCACCATCTCCTGGAGTTTGCTCAAACTCAACTCCACCTGGCCTGCTGTGAAGGTGTGAGTATTTTTATTTCCGTTGCAGATCATCTCCAACAAAAGGCCCACCTCATCCTGAACAGCAGATTCTTCTCTGACCCAGTCTAGGTTAACCCAAGGAGTCCTGTCTCCTCCCACGGAACACAAGAAACCCACCAGGTTCTGGAATCTTATACCCAAGAACTTCCCACATCCTCCTGGAAAGTCATCTTCTTGTCCTTACCCCCTTTTCTCTCTTTGAAAGAAACAAGCGCTGTTTCCTTTGGCATTTGGCATTCTGACAACTCTAGTAGAATGCAGACTGGAATTATAAATTCAGTAGCTTAGTCTTTTTACCTTCTGAAATCCACAAATCTTCCATTTTAGAGTTTACAGGACTTAGGTATGAAAGAACATTCAAAGAGCTGGTCTCCAGAGGACCAGAGGTAAGCAAAGCTAGGCCACATGCTGCAATTTTAACTACAGAGATGGAGAGGATGAGAAAGCACACACACCCCCTCAAGGGGGCTGGCACACGCATCCTGGAGCAGACGGGATGCCCTGGACTGAGGAACCTAGACTTTCTCCAGCACTCTTAATGGCAGCCCTGGATAATGTGCTAGTTCTGTGCAAAGACTATGATCTGTGACTATTTTACTCTAAACAATAGCCACCCAAGTTCTTGTCAGGTGGGCAGTCAGGACTGCAAGGCGGCTGTGTGTTGGCCTCTCGTAGTACAATCCTTCAACTCATGAGGCTGTCTTCTCCTGCTCAGTTTATATTCCAATCACTCCCTTGAAAATATGCTCCACCTCCTGGCTCCGTTCTCATCTCACTAATACTAACACTAATCCAGCCGTCATACCTCAACCTTAGTTAAAGTGGACTCTCCACTCTCCATGCCTCCAAGCAAACTGCTGAATATGGCTGCAAAAAAAGAAGGTAATAGCAGTTCAACTGGTCTACCTTTAAAATACACCATTAATCCTCAAAGGGGCCTTTAACACTGTTAACTAATTGTAGTGTATTTCCCTAGGAAACCGTTCACTTTCCTAGAGCTTCTACTGCACTTTAGACCGCCCAACAAAAAATGAAATTTATCCTTTGAATAGACAGAAAACCAGATATAAGCATGAAGACTTGTTCTGTCACTTATTTTCTAAACATACTGGCTTGGATGGTCCAAGAATCCGTGCGGCTATTCCTTTGCCTTCATTGGTACAGTCTTCACCATCTTTCTTCAAAGGGGTTCCCTATTTCAAAAAAAAGAAAAAAAGGAAAGATAATTGAGATTAAAAAAACAACAACAACCCATACAAACCCCAAAGCAAAAACAAAACAAATGCAGACCCTTGCTGTGCTACCCTGAAGAAAGGACGTAACTTGGCAGGAGTGTAAGGAGGGACCACAGCCCCAGTCCTCCCCTGGCTCATGATCCTGACACAGTCCTCATCTCATAACACGTACAGAGGTTCAAGTAAACACGATACACATGGGGAGACAGAGGAGGAGAAAGTATGTTCTAATTTTTTCACTGCACAGTAGGAGCAGACAGAGACAGCTCCTGTATCTGATGCTCAAAGAATCAAAAACAGTACTTATATTACAGTTGAAAATAAGTAATAAGAAATGATGTTCTCTGTAAGTATTAAGTGTGATTGCTTATACCGACCTCACTCGAGACTGCTCTAATTAACAGATGAAAATAAGCTGACACCCTATTACAATGTGTCCCCCTAATAGTTTGTGTTTCTAAGTGGTACATACTAGTTTGGAGCTGGTTTCCAAGGTGGCCCCCAGTGATCCTCAGCTCCTATGTGTCCCTGTGCAGCCCCCTAAATGAACAGGACTGACCCATTTAACAAACAGGATGTTCCAGAACTGAGGGCATTTGACTCCCAAGGCTGAGCCATAACAGACAACATGGCCCCCGCTGGCCGTCTCCGGGACTATCTGCTCTGGCAGAAGTCAGCTGCCATGTGGAGCTGAGAGGTATTCAAGCGGCACTACGGAAATGTCCTTACGCCAAGGAACAAAGACCCCCCGCCTGCCAACCTCAATGCTAATTTGCTAGGTACCTGACTTACCTTGGAAGCTCAGGCTCAGGCTCTAATCAATCAGATGACTACAGCCTCATAAGAAACCCTGAGCCATAACCAAACAAACTAAGCTATTCCTAGATTCCTGGTTCAGAGAAACTGCATGAGATGCTAAATGGTTATTGTTTCAATCCACTAAGTTTTAAGGCTATTTGTCACACTACAATTAAAAATACACCATTCTTTGAAAACATTATTTCACAAAGAAATTTGAGGAACAGTGGGTGACATAAAAATAAGTGTCTTCCTTGTGGGACTTCTCAGAGCCTTTATTATGCAGTGTGATTCTCCAAAAAAGAGACACTTCATGCAGGATTTCCCAAACACACTTAAGTGTGAAACTGAAGAATACTGAGAATCAGAAAAATAGTCCTTTATTACATGTAAATCAGTGCTTCTAAAATACTTGCCAAAACAAGTCAAAACCAAATCACTCTCTTTTCTGTCTGGCTTGTTGTTCTGTATATTTTATAGAAATATTTTAATATAGCTTACGTATGAGCTTTCATTCAGTGGTAAATCTATGAATTATGTTGCTGACATAGTAAAATCCCTTTACTTTGTAGAAGCATCATCAACTGGCATTTTCTTTAAATACCATAACTGTGCTAAATTTTATACAAAGAAGTTGCACATGTAGCCACACAAGTATGCTTACTGGGAAAATTCCATTGATGCGACTAGGTTTTCCTTTGGGATACGGATTTCCTGGGATTGTTCCACAAGAAGATATCATTGCATGAGGAGCTTTGCAGCCCCCTTTGAAAGCCTGTAACATAACAAAAAGGAGGACTGTTTAAAAAAAAAATCAAATATACTCACAAAATTTAGTATTCCGGAAGCCCTACTAAATAGGATGGATTAAGGAAGAGCATCACATTCAATCTGTTCATACAACAGTCAGCACTTCCACTGGTGAACATAACTGAAATTAGTAAGTAAAATCGCTTCACTTAAATGGAATTATTTAAATGGTAATGGAATGTTTTTAACATCGCAACTAGTAGACGCCTACCCAAAGATCTCTTCACAATGGATTCTGTAAATTGTGTGCAAGGACTAAATACGACTGGGCTGCAGCTCCTAGGGGAACAGTCCATGCCCTCCTTGAGTAGGTTTCTAACCACTAATCCAGTTTCCACCTGTCAAAATCCTAAGAAATAACTACCTTCAATGACAAATCAAGTTTTCTAGACTTGGACAAGTATGACTTCTCCCACTATTAGAGATTTTAAATGAACAAACTGGAATTCAGCCTTATAATTATTCATCTTTTATGAGTTTGATGAAAATAAGCTTGATGACAAATAAGTTCCTGGTGGTGGTTTAGTTGCCAAGTGGTGTCTGACTCTTGTGACCACATGGACGGTAGCCTGCCAGGCTCCTCTGTCCATGGGATTTTTCCAGGCAAGAATACTGGAATGGATTTGCCATTTCCTTCTCCAGGGGAATCTTCCCGACCCAAGGATCAAACCCAGGTCTCCTGCACTGCAGGCAGATTCTTTACTGTCTGAGTTAGTTCCTAAACATATAAAGTTAAAGACAAAAGCTTGGAGACATGGCAGAGCTACCAAGGGACTGAGAATAAACAGCCCACGAGGCTCATACTGAGGCACCACTGGCTTCTCACTCTCAAGCCATCTCTTCATACCCCAGTGTCCCCCTCCCACCCCTAAAGCCTCTAGTTCCCTGCCACCGACTGCAGCACTGTCATTATTAACCCATCACAGAATAGCAGGCTATTCATCAAAAGTTAGCATAGTAATAAGATTGGTACAGTTTTCTTCATCAGCACTCAGGAAAACCATGTGCCATTCATACAGCAATCTGGAGGAAATTACCTGTTCAAGTACCCTCTTACACCGTTTCTTCTCAGACATATTTATCCTGAACAAATCTTCAATGGGACGAGAATTCTGTGCATCAACAATGTTTCTACCAAGGAAAAACAATTTAGCTTTTCATTTAAGAACCTGGACACACACATTTAATACACAGATATATGTAAGTAAGCTTTTTTCCATGATATAACAAGAAGAGTATGATTATTCAGTTTTGATTGATGAGTGTAAATAACATGTTTATATAAATATGGTAAATATAGTAACTGAATGATGTTTATCTGGCTACTTGAAAGTAACAAAGTAATATTTCAAAAAAAAATCACTACTTTGAGATTCTTGCAAATCTACCCTGTCAGTGTCAGGAGAACTATTGGCAATAAAACAAACCCCTGTGCTAAATGCATAAAAATCAAGGTTGATCTAAAAATGAAGTCTTATGTTTTATTTTAAATTTGTGTTTTTGTGGTCATTTATAAATATATTAGGGACTTAAAAACTGCATGTGCTGTAAATAAATAGCAGTTTATAGACTCTCATAAATACTTATAGGAGAGTAGGTTCCTTTTCTCTATCATCCATTTCTCAAATTTATTTCACAATCATTTCTCAAGTGCTGTGCTGGGTGTTTTAAATCTTATTGTATTTAAAATATGCATCCCTACCACGTAGATAAGATCCTTATTTTCAAAACTGAGGAAAATAAGATCCAGAGAGAATAAGTGTATGTTAAGCAAAAAAATACATAGTTAGAATGTGGAAAACCCATCTAACCATAAGTCTTCTAGATTTATCAACAAGCTTTTCAAGTTATTCTGAGTGGGAAGGCAAAGCAAGTCACCAATATGCAGACAAATCAAAATAATTAAACTCAATAAGCCCCACCCACTAATTTTACAAGTTTATAATCATGTGTAATGAGCACACTAGCTACTTAGATACAAGAATTCAGCTCTATGCTTTCATACATTTTATTAGTTCTGGTTACCAATATAATTCTGACACATTAACATATACTAATGAGTTAAAAGATGTTTGAAAAGTTTTCCAAATTTTTCTCTGAGTAAAAAGAAAAAGAAATACTTACGAAGCTAACAGTTCAAGAGCAACTAGTTTGTCTTTACTGAAGGTGAAACAGTTGAGTATATTGACCACTTCTCCTGGGTGAACAGCCACCATTTTCTATTAATAAAAAAAATAATTTTATTTTCAACATGAGAAATTTTCATGCCAGAAATTGCCTTTTGGGGATGGGGGGTAATATAATTAAATGTTCTTAATATAAATATTTGAGATGAAAGCTGCTTCATCAAAAGTAAGCCCTAACAACTATGTGGATTAAAACTAGTTTTTTTCAATGTAACTACTTTAATTGAAGAACTAAGTTCTCCTATGTGCTCTTTCTTATCCACATCTCTCAATATGCTCATCTATAGAAAAAAAATTACATATTCTACTTTCCTCAGAAAGGCTATATAAAAAGAGGCTATTTACAAATAAGGGAGACACATTGCTCAAAAAGTTAGAAAAAAATCGTAACTCCTCAGTCAGAGTGCTGGGTTATGTCACAATTAGCATTTCTAGTGAAGTCCATGGTGCTGAATAGTGTTATTAAAAAAAGGTACTCCAATCACATGATTAGGGGAAAGATGGGTTAAATATTAACAGGTTCTTTTACTGCAGAACTTCTAAGAAAGTTAATGTACATTGTGACATTCGAGGGTTATATGGACTGTTACATAATTTAATATTTGTCTAGGATACCAATGTTTTTGAAAAGCAGGTCAATTTATATATTTATGTTATCAGTGGAGGAAATTCAAAATCAAAGTCAATATAAGGAGATTAGTTAGAATCAACTGATCAACCGAAGTTGTTTTTAAACACTATTAACCTTGTATCACCAAAAGAATTGGTAAAACTGCATGCCCCCTTACATGTTTGTAAACTGACATCTAAAAGTTTTATCGGAAGGTTACACATCTGCAAAAGATTGATTTCCTTATATGTAAGTTTATTATATATTTCTGAAGACCTTGGATCTACTGGTCTAGCTCATTTCTGAAAATGTCCAGAATGGAACCTAATCGTCAAAGTCAGTCTTCAGTATGAACACAGTCAAATCAGACTTCCTTTGTCTCCAAGTGCATGAAGGTGTGCTGTGCAGCCTTCGCACTTCTGAGTTTTAATTCTAGGGTGGGTGGATAGGCAAGCTGGCTTCAGAGCTTTGTCATGAGTTTGCTGTTCTGATAAAATAAGCCAAGGTCCCCAACAGTAGTTTTTTTTACTGAGTTCTCTGCTTTGCTCTCCTTTTCTTTGGTCCTTAGAGAAAGATTTTTCAACCCCTGCTGATAGGTGAATGAGTGAGACAATCTTTTCTTTTTTTAAATAAAGCAAGAAAAAAGCAAGTGTTGAAGAGAAGAAGCACTAACAGACCCAGACACTTTCTTAAGCAAATTAGTTTAGGAAGCTAAGGATCTGTATGTGCATGTGTGCTCACTCAGTTGTGCTGGCTCTTGGTGGCCCCATGGACTGTAGCCCTCCAGGCCCTTCTGTCCATGGGATTTTCCAGGCAAAAATACAGAGTGGGTTGCCACGCCCTCCTCCAGGGGATCTTTCGACCCAGGAATCAAACCAGCTCTCCTGCACTTGCACATGGACTCTTTACCACTAAGCCGTCTGGGAAGCCCTCAAGATCAGCAGATTTCTTTAAAGCTATCAGTGCCTGATACTCCCAGGAAGACCCTCTATACAGTCAGACCCCATTTGACTTCAGAGCCTTTGAAAATCTAGGCTCTAGCACTGGACATATTGCTTGCTTACATTAAAATCAAACAACACCTTAAAAATACCATTCCTCAGACAGATGACACATTTGAAGTGCACAAAAACCACATGTAGCCAGTGGTTACATGGATAGAGCAGATACAAACACTTGTATTGTCACTGAAAGGACATTTGGTCCGCATTGGTCTAAAAAAAAGTAGGCATAGATCAGTCTGACTATTCTTCTAAGACTAAATACAGGAAAGTGAAGACACATAAAAACGGAAGTAAATAAAAATACTTATGAATTTGAATCCTATGTTTTGCTTGCCTATAAATATTTTCTACTCCAATCTGCCAATTAGAACTCTGTACAATTTAATAGTACAGTACACATGATTGAAATTTACAATTTGGGAAGCCTTAATGTTTTTAACAGTTATTTTTGAATAAAGTATAACGTAATTTAGTGTCTGCAACTAAAGCAAACAAATTGCAACTTGAGATGAATTACAGAAAATGAGGAGAGAATTCAAAATACTTAAAATTCTACATTCTAAAGAAAAGTAAATTACTTACGTGCTGTAATGCTTTCATAGCCTTCAACTGAGGCTCAGCCCAGGAGAAATATCTCAGTAAATCAATCACCTGAAAAGCAAAGAACTAATTTAGCTCTACTGACAACATGTTTGCAAACATTTATAAGATTTATTTCCGTACTCTGAATCGCTATTCAAAGTGTGCTGCTGGGGCCCAGATGACGAGGCATAAGCATGACACCAGTTTAGACTGTGAGATAGAGTAGCCACGTGCAGCTACTTACATTTAAATCAACTGAAACCAAATCAAAGAGAAAACTCAGTTCCTTATTGGCATCAGCCACATGATAAGGGAGGGCTCAACAGCTGTGCGAAGCTGGTAGCTGCCATCATGGTTAGTGTAGAGAGAGAGCATTTCCACCATTACAGAAAGTCTTGGACAGCACCCGTCTAGAAATAATGCATAAGGTAGGGGAAGAAGAAAGTACCTGGAGAAAAGGAAAGTTGGAAAAGTACTAGATGGACATAAAATGTTTGCTTAGGAATATATAGTATGAACAGAAAGCTTTCAAACATTTAGTGAAGAATGACAGTTTTTTAATCATAGAAAAAGGTCTTCAGTGGTGTGGTCTAGTGGTGGTCATCCACTGACTTCTACTCTCTAACTCAGATCTGGAGGGCATACTATTCTGATTTAGACCACAGATCTAGTCTCTAAAAAGGTGAGAATTACCCTGAATCATGCCAGCAGCTTCTAAATGCTAAGTCACTTTGAGAGCACAGCCTGCCAGGTGCTCTCCTACCACCAGCCAAGTTCAAGTGAACGAGGGAGAAACTGTGCCATGGCCGGGGAGCGGCGAGCAGAGACCACAGCGCTGCCATCTCCGAGGAGCCACCACCACCAGGACACCCCAAAAGGGACAACAACAAAGACTCAAGATGAGAGGGTAATAAAATCCGGGTTAATGAATTATTTTACTCTGAGTTCCTCAAAATGTTCCGGGTTCAATTATTCCACAAAGCAAAGTTAACACTAGAAAATGGGGTGGTAGTAAAGAAGAGTAAAAATACTTCTCACTCCTCACTGAGAGATACATAAGTAGCAAACAGTTAATGTGTGTACTTTCTATCCAACTTGGTAAGAGAGTATGCCCTTACTTTTATGGGAATAATGTTTTTACTATGGGACTACACCAACCATAAAACTTTATAAACTATCATGTGTGATATAGGATGGGAGATATTCATTATAATAAGTAGGCTTAGAAGATCACACTTAGGAAGTAGCTTGATAAAATTTTTAATGACTGTAGCAAAGTCATTAAATTTCTACTATGGGAAGTTTTCTGCAAAATTTCACATGTATACACAGAAACACATACAAGAGAAGGAAAGAAAAGCTATCAGCTACGTGAAATTACAAATATTCCTGAAATATTTAAGTTTTTTAAAAAAAAAGGCACTGTGAAAAGTTATGAGACATCTGGAAACCACTCATTAAACAGGTAGCAACATGTGCAAATCACAGAGTAGCTCTCAGGAATTTAGGAAGCAGAACTACAGGCTTAATGTTATTCCAGTTTTGAAAGTCTTGAGAAAGAGATGAAAAGTTGGGGCATTTACTTACTAACTCAAGCTACAGTTTCATTAACTGTCTACCTTACTCACGTTCCCACTGTTTCCCAGAACTGTTCTCCAGATGTACATTTCTATTTCTGCTTCATATCTCTATCAAGTATTTTCCAGTATTCCTTGGAAATCCAGCTTTCTCTGCATGTGTGTATATAAACGCAAACCTATTTTTCAAAATCAGCAAACTCCCCGTAAAGCTGGGTGAAAGTTTCCACTAAATGATCCCACTGATAATATTAGTCTTCTGGAAGATACAGAAGCTACTTATTAGATGCTATTTTTTTTCTTATTCATGGCTTCACATAAGAACATATATCACCGTTTGTTCCAAGTTGTATAAACTGTAGTGAATTCTGCAATTACTGACTCATAAACATTGTACAAATTTGGGTATGTTAACTATTAGAAGTTTACAGACATATGATACTGTGCCCAGAATATAAACACTTTGAACTATGTTTTTCAGATACTGCATTTTAAAATCATGTTAGTATATGATACCATGATGAAAAGTGGGTACGCTTATAAAATATGCCAACTATAAATTATGTCAAGTTTTCTGTTAAAACTGAAAGCTTCTAAAGTTCCTGAATAAACAGAGCAACAAAGTAAAAGCAATTCTGACCTTGACCAGTAGGTAAATAAGTAAAGGCACTAATCAGAACATCACTGTTAAAAAAAAAGCTTTTGCTTAAATAAATAAAAGAATACCTGTTCACTAGAGAAATATCCATGTACATATTCAATCGCTTTTAATTTGTACTCTGTCAAAACAGCCTAAAAACACAGAAAAACAGAATAAATATATGTAAGCAGAACAGCAATATGCATACATAAAAACTGCCTATGCAACTCAAACCGCGGCAGACCTTCTGTAGCCCAGGGATGGAGACGCTGATAAAGTCACCATGGTGATGTAACGTTCTACCTTTGGGGTTCCATGCTGTTAGGGATACAATTAGACACCAGGAAAACCCCTGGCCTCCCTACTCACTCCTACAAAGGAACGGAATAGAATTGTAACAGATAAGATTTTACATTAATATAAATTAAGTATTCCTGTAAAAGTGATTGCAGTTTTAAGTCACTCCAAATTCAACCAAACCATCATTTTTAAGGTTAAATGTACAGGCAACTACTCATTCAGCAGATAATTATTTACTGCGCACCTGGCTGATAGAGAAACATGGGGTAAACAAGGTCTAGTCCAGGCTCTCAGTATTTCTACTGAGATATGAACCCAGAAGCCAACCTGTGTGCCTGCCACTAACTGGCAGTGAGGTCTCTGGGAGGTATTTTAATTGCCCCGAGAGGCTCTTCACCCACAAAAGGGAACACCAATCACTACCCACCTCAGGATTAAAATAGTAAAGAGTAAGTTCAGAGAGAAGTTTGTGGCCTTGACCCAGGACCATCTGGAGCCACAGGAAATCATGTATGATTCTCCTGGCAACTACATGCTAAGCTTAGAGATGGAAATACCAGACTATCACAATCTGCTAACAACCACTCATTAAAAATCCACTAATCCCCTTTGTACAGTGCCAGATCATAACTAGATTTATGGTAGGGGTCACTTTCTAGTACATAGAAATATAGACAGTACTAGTTTATAGTACCTTCTAGTATATAGAAATATGGTCATATTCCGCCCCCCCCCAAAATCAACTAATCCCTTTGCATTCATTCCAGAACAATCATAATTGTACTTTCTACATGCATCATGCTGCTAGAACACCATGACCAGTCAACAGAGAAACATGCAGGGAGCTTCAGTAGTTGAATTTTCATGAAAAAAGGGAAGGGAATGGGATTCTGGATAATGTACTCTTGGGAGTTTATTATTGCCATTATTGGACACAATCAAAAGCAAGTTTCTGGCCCAAATCCTGGACTGTGTTGATGCCAAGTCATGTCTTAGTTCTTTCATCAGCACCTGAGAGACCCAGCTGTATCCCCAGGCACAACACCATAGCCTGGAGTCAGAATCCCTGACCTTGAACCCTGAACCCTCTCCCTTATCAGCTGGGTAACTTTGAGCTGGCTAGTTAACCTCGAGAGACTAGACTTGCCATCTGTAAAACAAAGGGTATAGAACCTACACCTGGAGAGCTATTAGGCGGATTAAGTCAAGTGACGCATGGAGAAAGTGCTTAAAACAGGCACACTCTCTAAGTGCTCAATAATGAATATTATTATTAGCCTCTTCTTAGAAAGCAGATTACATATTGCTTTCCCCACTCTGTTCTTCTTCCTATTTCTTTTTCTAGTGTCTTCTTACATGCCTTTGTTTTTAAATGACAATACTGACAGCTAGTATTACCTACAGACATAATGATGACACTCAGGAAGAGATTGCCTGGTTTAAACTGACTTACATTTACAAAGTCTGAGAGCAATTTTGAAAAGCCAACAGTAACTCTCATACTTAGATACACTGTATTGTCATCCTATTTTAATAACCTAGTACTATGTTGATGTATCTAATTATTTGGCACAGGCAGAAAAAGATTTCATCTTGATTTCAGACCAGAAATAAGGGACTTATGTTATGAATTTGACTTTAATCTCTAGAAAAGTTTCTATCCCTTTTGTTAGTATTTACCATGTCATCTTTCCACAATTTAGCAGGGAGAGAATATTACAAATCGACACCCTATAGCTTCCAAAAGAAATCAACTCCTCTCCCTGAGCAAATTGTTGTCTCATAAACAGTAGTTTAACATCAGCTCATTAACAAACTGTGGCAAATTCTAACTATGTACTCAGCAGGCTGACATTTTATTGCAGATTTTCATTGGGCAAATTGGATTTGCAAAAGCAGGAATTTCATTTTGATTCAAAAAAAGAATACTCAATAGCATTACAAATGTAACCTAACAAGCAAATTTAAAAAAAAAAATTACAAAGGATGAAGGAAAACAGCATTTTGCTTTATACAAAATGAAGAAAAACAGGCAATTTTATTAATAATTTCATAAGCTGAAATAAATAATAATCACCAGTGCACAAGGTAACAAGTCTTTCCACCTCAATCAAGGGTCTTGAAAATATGAAAATGGCGAGGAAACAGCCCTGAAATTCTAAGCAACGAATAGTTAGTCTTTTCAGGTTTAATTTTGTAAAGACTTAACTTTTTGCGCTTAAAATACTGTTAAGCCTCAAGGCTACATTCCAATTTTTTTTTAGTTTTTGCTGTTTACTGGGATGTAGGCTACCTACAATAGCTTCAAAACGAAGCAAAAAACCTGGCAAGCAGAAAAAAAAAGCTTTGAAATGCGAGTTACTGAAGCCCATTCCTAAGAATCTGCCTTTAAGCTTAATGTCACACTTTTTATTAGGATACTAACTTTGCCCTGCCGAGGCAACAAATACAGTCTGCTTACAAACTTAAAAATCCCGTCATCATAACCACCGTTAAAGGAACTTTTAACGTATTTCTAGTTTTCAGTCATTTTTAATCTTATTGAAAGATGAGGAAATCGGTTAGAAATACGAAATCACTTATCCAAAATTACAGTGATTCAAGATTTGTAAGGCGGGCTTGGGAACCGAGGGCTCTGAACATAAGCTCCGCAATACAGGTCTGATTCTCACGCAGTTTAAAGTCAGCAAAAAAAATCTCCGTTTTGTATAGTGAAATGTATCAAGATATAAACTCCTACACTAGACGTTAAAATTCCAACCAGTTTTGCAATCCTCAAATCCATATTTTACACAATCTGCTCGCAGTTCCCCAAAGAGAACAAATCATGAGAATTCGTAACTCAAAGACTGAAGGAATTAAGTGCAATTACCTTTCTAATTTCATCCAGCACCATTTCAAAGGACTTTTTGTCCATCTTGACCACTATCTCGAAGAGGTTTTAACCAGTTACAGTTTCAATTACAAAACGTTCATCCCCGGTCCGCTCCGAGAGTAAAAAATGTTTCCAGCTAAGGAGAAAGACTCAAGGAGCAGGAGGAAGGATGCGCCAAGAGGTAGAGGACTTCAAAGTTTGCAAAAATTTCTAAAAATGGGGACTTATAAAAACTTTTTCTTAAAAAACAAGACAAAACCCGTCAGGCTTCCCCGGCTTCTTTACACAAAGCTTCAGGACCGCTCGGGGAAGAGCCGGGTCCTCTGAGTCCCGCAGAGAAAACCCGGCGTTCGGTGGCCGGAGGCAGAAGGTCTGTCCCCGCAGAGCAAGGCCAGGAGCCGCCGGAGGAAGATCGGGGAAGCCGCCTTCCCGGGTGTAGCGGCCCGAGAAGCAGAGGCACCCGCGCCCCGAATCCTGCGGCCGGCGAGGAGGGAGGAACCAGGGCCTCGGCTGCCCCTCACCGCCGCGAAGCTGGCCTCATGGCCCGGCTCTCGCTCACTTCTCGCAGCTACCGCCGGACTCCTGGGTCCCGCAGCCCGGGCAGCGGCGGCCTGGCCGGCTCTTTGTTACCATCTGCCACCGCTTCCGGGAGCGGGCCGGCGGCCGGCGAGCACCGGGAGCCGGGCGAAGGGGGGTCACGGTCTCGGGTAGGGGGGCTCCCGAACACCGCAGCGCCAACAGCGCCGAGAGCGCTTCCTGGTTACCCCCACGGCTTCCCCCGGCTCGTGGGGGACCTTCGATGGAGCCCGTCGCGCCCGAGTCAACTCAACTCTGCGCCGCCAGATTAGGCCCCTATCTCCAGAGAGCCCAAGCAGGGGTCCTGGTGTGGGAATGTAGGTGTCCCTGTGAGATGCCTGTACGTCTCGGAATTGGATACGGTAGAAGACCTTACCCAAAGCCTGGAAGTTATTTTTGGAGGGTCATGCCCTTAATTCTAGAGTTTGATTGTGCTCGTTTTTGATTGGTAAGTCCGAATTTAAAAGAATGTACGTCGACTGGTTAAGGCATATCCACGGGCACCCCGATTTTGCTGGACTGGAGAGGTCCACAGCTTGGATGGGCGGAAGGGCGGTCACGTGGTAAGCCCGGGGCTTGTGACGTGGAGGTGGGGAGGGAACGCGCTGGGAATGCGGAATCCCAGTGGGGACTGTGTTTCGTTGTGTTCGGTGGTTTCTGGTTCTGAAACCTCGGGCACCCGGGGTAGGCGCTTTGGAGCTAAGAGCTCACTGCCGCGACGAACTGCGAGGACCTGAGGCTGTCCTCCGGCCGCCAGCCGCCCGCCAGTCCTTCTGCCTCGCCAGTCTTCCCGTCCGGTCATGACGAGATTCTGGGTCTGCATAGCCGGCGCTGGCTTCTTCCTAGCGCTTCTGGTTTTGCATTCGCGGTTCTGTGCCTCTCGGGTGAGCTGGATGGTTAGGAAATGGCTTCTCGGGTAGCAGCACTCTTGGGAGGTGGTCTTGGGATGGAGATGGAGCTGGTTCACTCACTGGCTCGTCTCAAAACTGCACCTGAGGCCGAACCGCCGACGAGTTGCCCCTTAGCGTTGAAAAGTTCGTTATGTGGTGTGTGTGTTCGGTTGGGTCTCACTCTTTGCGACCTCACCGACTGTAGCCAGCTGGGCTCCTCCGTCCTTGGGATCCTCCAGGCAAGAATAGTGGAGTGGGTTGCCATGTCCTCCTTCAGGGGATCCTCCCCACACAGGGAGAGAACCTTGGTCTCCGGCATCGCAGACAAGATTCTTCACCGTCTGAGCAAACCAGGGAAGTACGCTGTCAGTTTCCTTATTTTCTCTTCCTCCTCAGCTCCCACCACATCTGCACTTGGCTTTTAAAGTTTCCTGGAGAGCTGAGGAGATTCTTTACCGGCTGGATGTGGATTGGCCGAAGTATTCAGAATACTTCACTGGAGCAACATTTTGTGTTGGAGTTGACTCCCTCAACGGATTGGTTTATGTAGCCCAGGTAAGTAAAACTGAGATTTTTGTTTTTAAAGTTATGAACGCAAAGAAAACAGCTTTCCTGTGTTACTGTACTAAGTATCTGTGTACGTTTATGTTATGCCAATTGTGGAATTTGGTTTTTTTTAGTTAAAGTTAGCGTTTTGGTTTTGAGCTTGATAGAGGTTAATATTGTTTGGTTTTGTAAACATTACATCATTTCTTGGTTAACCTTTGACTTCTGTTTCTCCTTGTGAAAATATGATTGCTTCCTTAAAACGGATCATATCTAAGCAGTTATTTTTGTATACCTTCAGAGAGGGGATAACATCCCAAAGGTATTAGTGTTCACAGAGGATGGATATTTCCTACGAGCCTGGAATTATACAGTTGACACACCTCATGGTATATTTGCAGCCAGTACACCACAGGAAAAATCCGTCTGGATCACGGATGTAGGAAGTGGTATGTGTAGTAATCTCTCTTAAATTATCTTGCTAGAAACCTCCTCTTTGCCCATGTTCTTGCTTGTCCATTTTGAAATCAGAGTGGCTGAATCTATTTGTAATTTCTTCAGTGATTTGTGAAACTGCCTTTCTAAATTTTTATATTGTAGTTATGTGTAATTGAGACATTTAACAAGGAGGCTATCATTATTGTGTTCTTTCCTTTAACTTGTTACGGGACTTCTGCATGTTAAAATATCAGTTGCTTTTTTTAGACTACTTCTGTGAAGGCAAATAAATTAGTAGTCTCTAAAAGCTAATAAATGGGGTCTTTGCCTGTTGTTTTCCTTTACCACTTGTCTGAGAGATTTTGCTGAGAAACCAGAACTGCTTTCTTGCCCAGAGTGCAAAATTTGCAGAAACTGCTGGTGGTGTGAATGCTTCTGAAGTCATACTGACTTTAGCGTGTCTGAAACCTTTCCATTAAATAATTTTAGTAGAGTGTGCAGGTGGTGCTATTGGTAAAGAACCCACCTGTCATTGCAGGAGATGTAAGAGACTTGGGTTTGATCCCTAAGGTGGGAAGATCCCCTGGGGGAGGACATGGCAACCCACTCCAGTATTCTTGTCTGGAGAATCCCATGGACCAGGGAGCCTGGCGAGCTACAGTCCATAGAGTTGCAGAGAGTCAGACACGACTGAAGTGACCTAGGACAGATGCAAGCTGCCAGAGTAAGCACAGTTGAAGTTACAGCTGTGAGATAAGTGTTCAGAGATAGCTGTTTGCGTGTGCTTATGATTTAAGATAAGATGATTCAAGAGATAACCTGGTATTATTATTTCAGGATCTCAGGAAAGAAGGAGATCTTAAAGTATTTCTAGTCTTGTACCAGATAAGTTTGTGGCTTGAAGGTCATTCTGTTTCCCCACTTTGGGCTAATTCAGATACCATTTTGGAATTAAAGAGGTCTCAGGTTTTGTGAAAGGTACACTAACCATATCTGTTCTCAGTACCCAGAAGATTTCTGAGCCTCAGTCCGTGAGTCCTTTATTTCAAGCTATATTTTGGATGGTAAGATTTTGGTTAAATCAGAAAATCTAGGTTACTTCTGAGCTCATTGTTAGACCTTACTGAAGTTTGACTATTTTTGCTTTTTTTTTTTTCCTTCTCGGGATTCACAGTTAAAAGGAGGCCTTTACTTTTTACTTCCATTCATGTGATCCTTTTTTATAAAATACTTCACTGGTTCCCAGAAATAAAAAGAACACACATTTTGCTTTCATTCTTTCCATTATAGCTTGTTTTTCCATGCACAGATCTGAAGACAGTTTTTCTATTTCTTCCTATATTTCAAAGAATAAATGCTCTTTAGTTAAAACATGGCTACATGTTAGCCATTTTTAAAAAAATACTATTTACTGGTATCTTTTTTCCAATTCCTTAGAGACTTTGAAGTTTGTCTTCTTTACTGTTTTTCTCTCTTAATTATTGCTACAAAGTTGAACTCAAGTCTCCAAAACAAGTATAATAATAAATTGTCAAGGTAGGATGTAATGCAAGCTGATTCCCGTTGTTTCCAGTTTGTCATTTGAATGCCTTACGAGTTAGCTGGTCTTGATATGCCTTCAAGTTGGCTTCTGTTAACTGCTTTATGGTTTTTCCTTGTTTATTAATATTCCAGTTTATGCTTTGCTTGTAAGATAATTTTAACTCTATGGAAAGATTTATTCCTTATTTAGGAAAGAAAAGCTAATGGGTTAAATTTTGTATTTGTTTCCACTTGGAGAAAATGTAGCTTAAAAACAGTCAGTATTGTTATAAGCCAATGTTACTTCAATTAAAAAAAAAACTTTAAAAAATTAGCACGAAAATAGATATATGTGTCTATCATAAAGAACTTTTTCATTGAGCTACTGAAACTGGAGATGTGCCCATGAGTAACTGAAATAACAGTTTTCAAACATAAGTTGTTCAAGTTCTTCTTGATTTTCTTTTCTTATGATTCCTTTTTCTTTTTAAATTTTACACTTGAGTATAGTTGATTAACAATGTTCTGTTAGTTTCAGGTGTATAGCAAAATGATTCAGTTATATGTATAGATGTATCTTGGTTTTGTTGTCCAAATAATGTTTATTGAAAGTCATAAGATAAAAAAAGAAAGCGATGTACCAATACTTTTATTGTGTTTTAGGAGTCAGTTCTCTTTGGTTGTATTTATTTTATTTAGAATATACTTATTTTGGAGTACATGAGATTCTAATTTGTGAATAGATTTGGCTATAACTAATGAAGCTTTGTTGCTTGTCAAATATAATATATTTAATTATTAGCGTTTAAACTTTTTATTGCTACTTAATTTTGTCACATTTTTTGCTCTCAGCTTACTTGAAAAATGTAAATGTTTGTGCAGTGGTTATATTTGTGAAATATGCATGTTTGTCTTTATAGGATTCTATGGTCATACTATTAAAAAATACAATTCCTTTGGCGATCTTGTTCAAGTTTTGGGGACCCCAGGCAAAAAAGGCACTGGTTTGAACCCCCTGCAGTTTGATAACCCTGCGGAATTACACGTAGAAGACACAGGAGATATTTACATTGTGGATGGAGATGGAGGATTGAATAACAGGTTGATCAAATTGTCCCAAGGTGCGTGGCTTAGTTTTGTGTGGTGTTCTAAGAGTGTCACTCAGTTAGTTGGGTCTAATTTGTCTGCTCCTCAGCAGAACTCCAGTCAGTGCCTCTGTCTTCACATTTCCTTCTCTGTGTGTCCCTGTGTCTTCACACCAGCTCCCCTTTCTCTTATAAGGGCACTAGTCACTGGGTCCACTCTAAATCCAGTTATCTCCACCTCAAGATCCTTAACTGTATCTGCAAAGGCCCGGTTTCCAATAAGGTCACATCCACAGCTTTTGGAGATTTGAGACTTGGGCGTGTCTATTTTTTGGAGGAATGGGGGTGAGAGGGACATCTTCAGTATGATACAGGGGCATTAAAAATGGCCACCTATGAAATCGTAATTTTTAAGCTCAGAGACAAGGTAATACCAAATAACATTGATTATGAGGGGGAACCAGTTTGAAGGAGAAGTTGGCATGAACCGTAAACAATGATATTTGGGTTATGAAAAATTTAAGTGGAGACAGCCATTGAAGAAGCAGATTAATTGCTTGAAACAGAGAAGGAAATTTTTTTTTTTTAAAGCATATAGATTAGACAAATTTACATAAACAGAAAGCCAGGAAGGCATAATCAGCTCAGGGTGTAATTGAATAGTTTGTAACTCATGACATGCAACATAACATGCTAATGCATAGGTATTCTATATGTTGTACTGACCAGATGTGTTTATTATTTATAGATTTCATGATCCTTTGGCTGCATGGAGAAAATGGAACAGGGCCT